TGTCTCCCTCTCTCTGACCCTCCCCACTCACGCTCTGTCTCTCTCAAAAATAAATAAACGTTAAAAAAAAACAAAAAAAAAGAAAGAAAGAAATGGACCACAGCCATACGGGTCCACGGCCGCCCAGCCCCCCTGGTGTCCAGACCTGAGACAGGCACCCACGGTCTTCTCTAACAGCGCTGTGAACACAGCCAGGTGCCGTGCGACCTTAGCGGCCGGGCCACTCTGTCCGCTCATCCCGAGCCTCCACACAGTTTCTCCACGACTGCTACCAAGTCCGGTCCTGCCCGACCCATCGAGAATATTCTTTCTTCACTCCCAAGGTATTAAAAGCACATCATAACCGATGGAGGGAATTCCGAAAAAGATAACTCGCTTAACCTAACAAAGCTACTGTTCTCGCCGATCCTCTGCTTTGTTTATTGAACCAGTGATTATGTCTTCAACGGTTGCAAACAGCAGCCCTGTGCCCTCACATGCTCCCCGCCTTGTTGCCTATTTTTGGTGGCTGCTGACAGCCCGTCAGGAGGATGCCATCAACAGCTCCCCGGACAGGTGGGCTGGCTCCTTCCAGGTTTTCGCCGCTACCAGTAACACGGCCACGAACGTCTCTGTGCAGAAAACGGTGTCCGTATTTCAGATGATTTCCTAGGACCGGACCCCTGGAACTACCAGCATCACTCATGTTGATGGCTCCTGCAGCTGACAAATTTCTTTAAAAAGCAACTCGGGGATGCGCATTCTTCCCAGGACTAGGAGCACCCACTTCCCAGTACGCTCCACGGAGGTTCTGCCCAACTAAGGGGTGCAAAAGAGATGCCCCTTAGTCCGAGCCCTCGTCTCTCGGAGGCCACACACGTCTGTTTTGCTGGCTGTCGCTTTCTTTTTTTGTACAATCAGCCGTTCACGTTGTGGTGGACACTGGGACGTCCCGCTCCGGTCCCCTTCGAGGAAATGCTTGTTGGCCCAGCAGCAGGGAATGTGGGCAGCTGGCGGCAGGTGCCCGTGAGGGGCGGCTCCCATCCCACGACCGGTTGAGGATGTCCCAGCCCAACTCGGAACAACCCCAGGGGGCCATTCTGGCTCTAGAGTTTCCCATGGTGCTGGCAGATGCCGTTGCTGGGGCTCCATCACGGCTCTAACTCCCCGGCGGCAACCTCCCCAAACTTCCATCCCCTGTCTTACATAGATGCATCTAATGACCCCCCCACACACATTAAACTCCATCCCAGAGTCCGTCCCCCGGGGAACCCTGCCCATGACATGGTCCTCGGGTTGCGAATGTTTCCTGTGGATTCCAGCCCAGTGTTCTGGCCTCTGACAGCCATGGGGAACATCACTCCTCGGTGCACTGTCCATTCTTTCTGGAAACTGCATCGTGTTGCTGCCTGAACCG